CTATGTATCTCTCCAGAAACACCGCCAGTCTGTACCTCACTCAACCGCAGCGTAACTTACACATCGGATTGTCAAGAAATCATTACATATATTTGTTGAAAAAAAAAAGCCAACAAATATATGCTAACAACATGTATTTAGTAAGAAAAAAACTTACCATTTATTTTGGATTAGGAAAAATAAAATTTTATATTGTTCATGAATATCTATATAAGAGAGAATTACGTTCTTTAAAAGAAACAATCCCCTTTTTCGTTTATTTATAATCTCATTGTTAACTGATTTTAGGAATACCAATAATATTAATTATTAAAGTAAAAACAACAAAAGTGTAGCGCATGTATAGCCATTTAATATAACGAATTTCATATAACTTACCACATCATGAAATAATCTTCATCGATCAAGAGCAGTTCAATAACCACAAGGATCTTATGACATAAGGACGAACTAAAGCATCCAATTTATAAAGTATACGGTTTATAACTTTAACTAACAAATGTCTTTCCTGACCTTCTAAATTTTGCGACATCAAAAGTGGAAGGATTTAGTTGAACAGAGGGTCCGCACCAAAATCTTGAGCTTTGTCAGTTATTTGCGAAGTGCCGTCTTTCTCATGGGCAGGGTTCCGTTTTTTATCTTCAGAAAACGATGCATAATATTGCGTTCCTTCAACTCGTCAACAGATAATTCGCTTTCATCTTTGTCTTCTAATAATTTACCAAAGTATTGTATGTCTTCTTGTTTAAAAAATGGCAAATTGTCTACACTTTGAATTTCAGTGGGCAAGTCATAAGTTTGATTTCGGTCCTCCTCCAACATCCCACCCATAGACATTGGAGTAGCCATTAATTTGCAAGCAGGTGTTCTAATGGGACCGTATCCTGGTGTGGGTCCAAAATTTTGTACTCGGTTGAAGGAAAGTTCATTATCTGTAAGAGGTCGATTGCTTGCATCTAAATCCCATCAAAATCATTAATGATTACATTAGTCGAGGTAATAAGATGATGTTCAATAAATTTTTTTAAGGATGATTCAATACCAGGAAGTATCAAAAAATAAGACATTTTTCGCAAAAGAAAAATTTTTTTGTTTTTTTAAAAAAAAATAATGTTTAAATAAAAATTTTTCGTTTATTTTTAACAAAAAAAACTAGACTACTATTTGTTGTACAACCATAAACAAAGAAAATACAACAATCAGTATCGAGGAAATTTTCCGAATATAGTCATCACACATACGTACGGATAATTCGGGTGTCACGTACCAGGAAAGGAGTTAAACGAGTGTATGGCCTATCCGTTGACAAAATCTTATATCTTATACCAGGAACTTAGTATATGGTTTATGAGCAAGATTTTGTGTTCTAAAACTTGCGTATCAAAATCATCAGAATTTAAAGGACGCCAATTCGCGTATAAAAAAAATGTTGACCTGAGAAACGGAATATTACGTACAATTATCGTTAATCAAGATCAAATCGGTTTAATATCCTTACTCGTGGCTTTTTACCTGTTTATGTTTGTTAAACTTTTTGCCTATTTTGGGCAATCAATTTAAGGGTAACGCATCATATGATTATTAGATAGCATTCAAACCTGTTCATCATGATGCTCTGCGAGATTTAATCCAAAAAAGGCAGATTGGCACGAGTATAATACGTAGTAAACATCTACGCTAAATATGTACAATGTGAGTGATGCACAGTGAAAACCCGTAAGTAAAATCTTATTCGTTACTGAATATATGTCGATAGCACGTGTCACCTTCATATTTTTGTATGCATTTACGTCACCTTAAATAGGCTCTATTTGATTAATCACGATCAGTGTAATTAATATACAAGCCCTTTTTGAATCCTTTATTTAAAACAAAAGCTTAGTATCGATATTAAGAACGTTAATTGAAAAAGGAATTCACATTTTAAATAAATATATATATGTATATAGTTTATAATAATAGATTTAAATGCAAATCATTACCTTTTTTTTGAGATAAAAAACTAACAATAATTAAATAATTTATTAAGTAAATCTCTTCTGGCCTCCTAAGTAAAATTGTTTATACTAAAATTTTATATATAAACAGTTTAGTTTTATATCTTTTGGACTTTTTTATAGTAAAATATATTTCTTAAATTATAAAATTTTTTTTCTTATATATTTTAATATTTTATTAAACTAATTTTAATTGTTACTTAAAGCAAAATAATAGAGTTTATTTAAAGTTTCATTTTGATATATTATACATCTATATTGGATTAATATTAAAGATTTTATACAAAAATTTTTAAAACTCTCTTATAAAACTTCTGTTTTTTTAAAAAAAAATTTTTGTTCTTTTTTTAAAAGAGTTTTTATTTTAATATATCTAGTATTTGCAGAACATTTTTTTTTTTTTTTTTTTTGCTAAGAACATACTTGTAATGATACTTTATTGACTTTATATTGGGTTAGCTATTACAACTATTTTACAAAGATGAGAGTACAGCTAGTCATACGTGCAACTTTTGGTTGCCTATTTAAGTAGTTTGCCTTAAGGTTCTACACTAGATACCATACCTATAACCTACTAGGAGATTATCTATTTAAACCCTTTGATCATCCACTCTGTCATATTGGAATCTCCAAACTAACCCCCCATATATACCTACTCAGTATACTGTCTAACCAGTATGGTACTTACCCTTTTTGTACTAGTTCCCAGGCTGTTACACATTTCAGAATACGTCATCTGCCAGTAAGGTGAAGGAGGTTCCCCATTGTTAACTATCTACCTACTTTTAGAACACTAATATAGGCTACCTTTACAGAGTTCACCCAGACCCCAGTACTGATTTTACAGCATATCTCTAGTACTTTTAGTATGTCTCTGCTTTGAATCCAGACTCCCAATCCAGATAGCCTGGAAGGACTATAACTTGTTTTTGGTATATTAAGGTTGGCCTAATATCCTTTTCCTCCGATCCGAAATCTGGCAGCCTGGTTGGTGGTACCCCTTACCCGAGGTTCTTGGCTACACGAATCCTTTACATTGATATCCATTTCCTAGATCTAGCTTTACAGTAGTACCATCAAAGATCCATATTATCTCTCTGCTCGAAATTTCCAAGTGGGCTCCAGCTTCCCAGTTCTATAAATTTATACAGTCTGAGGACTTATTTTAGGTTTGCACTGCCTAGTACCAGTTTGCATTCCTCTGTGTAACAGGTTACACAGATGCTCCAGACCTGCTAGTTATGCTGGTGCGACCATAGTTACAGGTATCCTATTCCAACTGATCGACAAAATGCCGTCCTGTAATATCATCTATATATTATATAGATAATTATCTAAATTTCATTGTCGGTAGGTTTTGAACTCACAACCTACTACTTGGAAGTATGACAACTTATCCACTTCACTAAGTCACCACACCCTTTTACAGAATATTACTAACAATCAAATTATTAATTAATTTAATACAAATTTTAATTTTTCTATTTTTGATTCAATTAACTAATACAAAAATTTGTTTAATATTAATTATTATAACTACTTAATTTACATATTTTGTGCTAGTTATTTGTCATATCTTTTTATTTAGCATATTCATTTATTTATTATATTTTTTATTTATTATATTTCTTTATATATCATACTTTTTTATTTGTCATATTCTATAATCTTTTAGATTCTCTCACATTCAAGATTCTTATTATCTATTTTATTTTTATCTTTTAAACTTTAAACTATTTATTTTAATCTCTAAAGATCCTGATTCCTATAATATTGATTTTATTATAATAAATATAAAGCTCATTATAATATAGAAATAATCGAAGAAAAACCTTAATGTCTATATATATTTTCTACAGATGTTAATCTAATTAATTGTAATATTTCTAAAAAATATTATTATTTCAAAATTTTTTAATAATAATTATTATTATATGTCTTTATAAAATATATTATATTAACTTTATTTCTCAATTTTATAGAATTTCTTATTTTACTTTTTTTAAATAATTTATAACTTAAACTACTTTTATTATTTCTATTAATCAATTTAGAAAAATCTCTAATAAATTATCTCAATAATTTATTTCAAAATAATTATAATCTGATCTATTCTCTTCTAAATTTTATATACTATTTTTAGTTTCTAAATAGATTCTATATCTTTTGCAATTATTGTATACTCTTAATACTATCATATATATCTTATATACAAAACTAAAAATATTTCTTATATAACTACCAAATAATATAAAAATGACTTCTAATTATATAATTTGTATAATTTTTAAACAAAACCTAATTTATAGATTTTGTATTTTTGGTTAATTAAATATTAAACTTAAATTTTTGATATAAACATTTCCTTTTATATTTCAACAACAAATAGTTATAGTTTTAATCAAATTTAAACTAATTAGTTTAAATAATTAAATCTCTTTTTCTAATTCTAAAAAATAAATTATTTATTCTCTTATTTTTAAATAACAACTAATTTTTATTTTTATTAAAAGTTAACAAATGAAATTCAATAAAAAAATTCAATTTCTTAAATTTTTTTTTTTTTTCGGTATTAAGGTAACCTCTTTGGTCCAAACTTTTTATTAATACTTATAGCGGGTACATGTTTTATATAGACGTATCTATAATGAACTATTAGACGAGTATACAACTGGCTACACGTGTAACTTTTCTATA